AATCACTGGTGGTGGTGGTGGTGATGATTCATTGACATACAAGATGGCGATTGAAGATGTTGATTGATATAAATGACAAGAAGCCTTGAAACTAGAAATGGAATCCATGTATTCTAATTCAGTCTGAAAACTTGTAGATTTACCAGAAGTCGTAGAGCCTATTGGTTGTAAATGGATCTACAAGAAAAAGAGAAGAACTGATGTTAAGACATCATTTTTTAACGGTCATCTTGAGGAGACCATACATATGGTCCAACTAGAAAGTTTCGTGGAAAAAGGCAAAGAGCAGAAAATCTGCAAACTGCAAAGATCTATATGGAATAAAACAAGCTTCTAGATCTTGGAACTTTAGATTTAACGAAGCCGTAGAATCTTATGGTTTTGAACAAAATCTAGGTGAACCATATATCTACAAACATATAGAAGAAGATAATGTGGTCTTCTTAATTCTTTACGTAGACGACATTCTATTCATTGGGAATAATGTAAGAACTTTGTCCAAAGTAAAGAACGGTAAGCCAGCCATTCAAATTGAAAGATTTGGGGAAAGCCGACTATATTCTTAAAATCCAAATTATAAAGGATGGCAAGAATAGGCTTTTAGCATTGTCTCGAGCATCGTATATTGATAAGGTGCTTGTCTAGTTTGTGATGCAAAACTCCAAGAAAGGAAACTTACCTTCTCGACATAGAGTTCATCTATTTAAAGAACAGTGTCCTAAGATACCATAAGAAGAGGGGAACGTGATATGGCATTAGTAATTGGTAGTTTAATGTATGCAATGTTGTATACAAGACCCGACATATGCTTTGTAGTAGGAGTGATTAGCCACTATCAGTCAAACCCAGGATTGGATCACTTGGTAGCAGTCAAACATATAATCAAATATCTAAGGATAATAAAAAAGTATATAATGGTATACTCTCATGGGGATTTGATTCCTATTGGATATACATATTCTAATTTTCAATCAGATAGAGATTGTTGAAAGTCAATTTCAGGAGCGGTGTGCACTTTAGGAAGTGGAGCCATCATATGGAGAATTGTAAAACAAACTTGTATTGTTGACTCAACCATGGAGGCTGAATACATAGCAGCTTGTGAAGCAGCTAAAGAAGCAGTCTGGCTTTTTGAGTTCTTGAAAGATGTTAAAGTTGTTCCAGGAATGCATGAACTAATCAAACTCTACTATTAAAACAGTAGAGTAGTGGCCAATGCAAAAGAACCAAGGAACAACTGAAGAAGAAAGTATATAGAGAGGAAATTTCACTCGGTGAGAGAAATTGTCCAAAGAAAGGTTGTTTCAGTTGAGAAGATCGCATATGCGAACAATATAGCTTATCCGTTTACAAAAATACTGCCAGTTCGTAGTTTTGACCAACACCTTAAAGGAATGAGACTTAGAGATATGTCTCATTTACTTTAGGGCAAGTGGGAGATTATTGGGACAAGTGCCCATTATTAAATGAGTTATAAACATTTGATGTCATTTAATGATATTTGTGAAATTATTTATGTTGACCTCCAAATGTGCTGCCAACAGATGTCAAACTCACTCGTGTATGCGTAAGCTATATCCAACACTCAAAGACAGATCAACGGTCGAGATCACTTATAATTGGACGTGGGAGAAACTCAACGACATGAGACGTTTCCGTTCAGGTTCCGGCAAGATATCCAAAATACAATTGTATATAAAAGTAACCAATCGCTATGAATGTAGATCCAAGACCGAAAAGTAATATATAAAAGAATCAATGAATGTGAGACAATAAAACCAATTGCTCCAAGTATCTAAAGTTGCATTAGTCTTCAATTGTTACATGGCGGGGGTATTTATAGTATTACAAATGAAATGGTGACCCTTGAATGAAATTACACGTGGCCTCATTTCCTCGGCTAAAGCATCAAGTCCTAGTCATTAAGTTGACTTTCTAACTTTACAAAGCATTTAATGTTCTTACACCCTATTAACAAGACAAGATGCAAATACACTTTTTACAAACGTCACATCAATCACTCAAATAAGATATCTTTAATAAATTCAAGATCTCTACACGTGGGCCGTCACTAATTGGAGTCGAGCCTCAGACCTGTTGGGCCTTAGATCTGGGCCTCCCGGCACATCCACCTTGAATTACCAACGGGCCTCGAAAATTACCAATTGGGCCTCGTCTTCTATGGTTGGTGGTTCGGCAGGCTTGGGTCCACAACTTCACTTGGCCGGCCCCATGGCAAATGCTAGTACCAAGTCATAACAATTTCAATATCTTTTGCATGCATGATTGGAGATTTTATAAATATCAAAAATTCATTGATTATTTATACATAAATTTAAATATTGTGAATAAGTGTTATGTGATAAGGATAATATTTAAAGTGGAATAATCTAAATTTGTCCGTGATTACAATTAAAGTAGGGATCTTTAATTATGATCACTAGTATAGTTCATTACATTTCGAATGAAATAATCTTATCCAGATTATTAATAATACGATTATTTGAATGAAAACACTTTATATATAATTTAAATATATAGGACACGAACACAATTAATAATGAATTTCTAGTGAAGTTCTTTTCACATGGTGTATTCAATTTTGATCAATGATGGTCATATATGGATCAACCTTAATTCAGAGTAATTAATAGACTCATATTTATTAAGTTGTGTTTTTTTATGTGCCGGATAATGATGCAAATTAATAATGTCAAATTCTTGGTACATTGGAAATACAATGGGATAAAAGTCGAGAATATCAATATAAAAGAAGAAATCCATTCCTTTGTAGAAAAGTAGATAGATGGTTCTTACAAGTTGATTCGGGACTTGAATAATAAAGGCGCTCAACTTTATGATTAGTTCATAAAATATTTTATTCATTAGATGATCAATGAAACTTATGGAGAAATATATAATTAAAGAGGTTTATGGATAAACACCTAACTTTAATTATGAACCATTTATGAAGGATTGATCTATATGAAATAACTATATCAATGGACAGTTTAAATCTCTTGAATATAATTTGTTTTATAATTTTAACAGTTCAACTCCAAATTTTTAATGGAATAATTTGGGATTAATAATTTTGACATACTTATTAAATTGTTAATTAAATGTCATTATTATTGTAGCTTAAAATTATAATGTCCATAGTTCCTCTCGTCGGCTCCGTTACAATTACATGAACATTATTAATTAATTTAGAATTATGAATTCTGAATTGATTTTCACACATTAATTAATTGGATTAACTTTATTTTAATAATATAATTATTTAAATTAATTTGAAATCATACAATGTGATAATGATCACATTATTATATGCAACATGTGGATAATGATGAATAATTAAACTTTAATTATTTAAATTAATTTTGAATTCTTATATGATAAGAGGATATGAGAGAGAAATTTTCTCTCCCAGTAAAATAGCTCCACCTCATCCGAGTGATAGGTGTGATTTTGGTTTTTTAATTAAATTGTTAATTAAAAATTAAATTAAAGCTAAATTTTTCAACTATAAATAGGATTCAGCATATACTTAAAAAAAACACACGAAACACAGAAATTTATGTGATATACTTTTCTGATAGTCCTTTCTCTTCTTCTTCTCACTTTGTCTCATGTATTGAGAACACAAAGTGAATCATAAAGTGAGTGTGTGAATCAAACCCAAATCTAAAAGGTCCATTCGTTCGTTTCTTGTAATTGGAGATATGTCGAGAAAGAATGATAGAGCTTTTGGGAGGTTGATGATTTTAAATGAGGAGTTCAAGAATTATATCTTAGGCGATCATTGGTATCATTTTCATCTCTTCCCTAATGACATGTTTATTAAGTTAATATGTGTATTGTTTGATTTAAAAAAATTATAATGTGCTTGTTCTTGCTTCCGCTTATTTTTTTTTTCTAAAAATGGTTTTCAAAACCAACAATTAAAAATTATTTCAAATTTTATTATTGTTTTTTATGTAGCACGGAGGATTTTAATTTTTATCCGTTACATTTTTAAATTAAAAATTTAAAACTACACACTTTGCCACATGCAATGGTTGTCGAGATGGACAATAAATATCACATTATAATAATCTTTTTTGCTACATCATCAATTCCGTGAGTCTGAGTCACATTATCGTTTAGTTAGCTTATATAATAGAGAGAGTGAGTCAAAATATATAAACTGTTACAGATTTCGATGCCATCTCCCACGTTATCCACCACATCAGACCAACGAACGGGATACATCCGCCATGTGGTGGACGAACTGAATTCATTCACCACATTGATGGATGCTAAGACCTGCACTCCGCATCACTTTGTCACAACTCAAACGGACTGATCAATATTACTCACTAAAACCAAGTCCGAAGTGATGACACCCAGCATGCGATTATCACTCATGTCGCATCCGCTCAACTTCAACCATGTGTACTAGGAGATCTTTTATGAAAATATCTCAAGAACCAAATCCTTAAACCAGTGTTATTAAAATCGGCTAGGCCCGGCCGGTCGGCCCGCTAAATCAGTGACCCAGGCCCTGTTCCGGGCCCGGCAAGCTCATACTATGTAGGGAAAATTACCAAAACCCAGGCCTTTAGTTTGAGTTTTCACTTTATTTTTCTATTTTTCAGGTTTTTATCATTTTAATAAATTAAAACCTTAAATCTATTCAAACCATAAATCTATCAATTTCTCTCCACCCTCTCACCTTTCTCCACACGCCGCCTACTCCATTCTCTCCTCCCACCACAACCGCCCACCTCCCATTCTCCCTCCCTGTCGACGTCGCCTCCTTCCCTTCTCCCTCCCTATCGGCCTCGCCTCCTTCCCTTCTCCGTCCCTCCCTGCCTCCTCCTCCTCCCACCACCACCGCCCACCGCTCCCTCCCTACTCCTCTCTCCCCTTCCCTCCCCCTCTTGTCGTGGGCCCATCTCTCGACCGCTAATGTCCACCTCAGCAACGGCATGATAATTTTGGCGAACACTAATGCAATGGTAAACATGCGGGCCATAACACATGACCCTAATGTGCGGAATGATCCCTTGATTTTCAAGCCAGAAAGGTACCTACCATCTGCTGGTGGTGTGAATGTGGATGTCAGAGGGAATGACTTGAGGCTTGCGCCATTTGGGGCTAGAATTAGGGTTTGTCCTGGAAAGAGCCTATGGCTAGCGACAGTGAGCTTGTGGGTGGCTAAGTTGGTGCACCATTTTGAGTGGGTTCAAAATGTGGCTCAGTCTGTTGATCTTAGTGAGGTCTTGAACCTTTCTTATGAGATGAAGAAACCACTCTCTGCTGTAGCCATTCCAAGGGTTAGGTGGAGGTGTTGTGGGTCTTTGATGCGGTGGTGTGTGCGGTGAAGGTCTTCACCCGGTAGAGAACGAATAGTAGACTGCTTTTTTGGTTGTGATTTTGCGGTGGCGTAGTAGTGGGTGTGTGGTGGAGGTGCTGTGACCAACTATTTGGTCGATCTGTGACCAAGTATTTGTGGTGTTTTAGGATTGGGGAGACGGGTGTTTGGGTGTATGTGACCAACTATATCAACCTGTAACCAAGTATTGGTGGTGTAGTGGGATTGGGGGATAGGGGTTTGGGTGTATGTGACCAGCTATATAGTTATCTGTGGCTAACTATTTCACTGTAACCTTAAAATTTGTTAATCTGTGACCAACAAATTTGGAAATATGTGACCAACAAATTTTCTTAACTTGTGAGCAATTAAAAATCTGTGACCTATAATTTTTTTCATTTGCGATCTCAAAATAATCTGTGACCAATTAATTTGATAAGTTGTGACCGAAAATTAAAATTTTAACTACTTGATAAGATATCTGTGATCTCGAAATCGGAGCAGTTATTGAAATTAAGCGGTGGCAAACGATCACGGGAATAGTCGTCGAAATTAAGCGCGGCATTTGATAAGTTGTGACCGAAAATTAAAATTTTAACTACTTAATAAGATATCTGTGACCTTGAAATCGAAGCAGTGATCGGAATTAAACGGCGGCCAACGGTCACCGAAAATTAGTTGTTGGAATTAAGCTTGACCGGAGAACAGTCGCGGAAATAGTCATCGATCATCGGAATAGTCGCCGGAGTAGTGGAGGTGGTGATGGTGGAGGTGGGGTGGAGTGGGGTGGATCAATTATATTATAATACAGTTTAATATTTAATTTAATTGATTAATTGTAAAATATAATTAATTAATTCATGGAAAACCCTGAGTTTTGTAAATTTAAACATTGGGACCTGATTTTTGATTTCGTGAAAGAGAATCCCTGACTCATGAATTTTTCCCTACTATGTAAATGCAAGTAGCCCGGTCAAAAATTGGATTTGACCGGGTCATTCAGCCAGTTTTATATAATTATCGGGCTGGTCAGCTCGATTCGGCCCTATTGATTTTTTAACCAAATTTCAAAAAATTTCTCCATTGAAATTTTAGGGGACTAAAGATTTGAACATTTGACCTCTAACTAATTAGAATATAACCTTACCACCAATGCAAGGAACACTTTGTTGTCCTTTTGTATAATAAACTATATTTAACATATGAATAATTTGTCGTATTTTGAAAATATTTTTAATAAAATTAGTCCAATGTTTTCATTTATTTTGTAATATCAAGTAATTAATTTTTTTGAAAATTTTAATTTTAACTAAAACAAATTGAATAGATAATACACGTAAAGTATCGGTCAATAACTAATAAATGGTTTGTACATCACAAAAAGGGAAAATATAATATACAAAATTATAAAATCAAAATGTAACTATTATCACTAATAAATGAGTTCAAAAAATATTAATTTAAAGGTATAAAAATAATTTGTAACAAATAACTTGAAAAATTTAGCCCATGTTTGAGCCCTATTCTTTCCCCTTTTTTTCCATTCATTTTTCTACAGTACTCATTTTCAACCACACATTTTCCAAATAAAATAATATTACACACAAATCTAAAACTTTTCATCACTTTTCCACCATACATTCTCTTATCAATCACTATTCAAAAACTAATTCTTTCTAAAAAAAAATGGAGGCCAAACACCCACTTAATTGTCTCAAGAAAAAAAATTATACTTTAAAATTTTTTAAATAATTTTTAAGTAATGACCCATCGGTCCGACCACCGATTCACCGGTCCGACCAATAACCCAATGACCCAATACCTTGATTGAGTCAATGTCCGGGTCAGGTCTAATAACTATTTTTAAAATAAAATTGATTAATGTCGTATGGCAGACTTCAAAATGTCAAAGTCATGCATTATTGTGTCAGGAGCATTAAATGAAACACCTACCTATGAATTAACATATTGACACTTACGAGAGGACAATCCGCCATAGATTCAAAGCCATGTGCACCACGTCTAATAGTTCTTTCTTATCAATTTTCATTATAAATACACACACTTGCACTATGGAAGGGATTGGTCCCTGGAAAAAGAAAAGGAGTACAAGCTTTTTACATTATCCGCGTCCATACACAAATCACCACCAAAAATCACGTTTTGGTGATCACCGCCACCGGACGTCTCAACTCCNAAAAAAAAAAAAAAAGGCAACTTGAACTCATAAATGACAATCCTTTGGCAAAGAAAGATGATGCTTCTGGCTATGATCAACAACCGTGGATGCTCTTATTTCCTGCTCGGCTATGATCCGTGATACTCTGCAATATCAGACGATATTAAATAAGAAAAAATCCTGTAATTATAGGATATATTGTGGGCAAAAAATTTATTTATCTACCATATGAAAACTTCTAAAATGCTAGCGTTTTTAAATGTTAGTTAAATAGGTTTCTTATAATTCAATATTTAACTTACATAAATAACTTAAATTTTTGCTTGCACAACATTGCAGCGTTTGTAACCTATTTTTCCTCTTTAGAAATAGCGTTTCCAAGTTCCATATGGGGTTACATTTTGTTTCTCATTTCCATGTCTATGCAACCTAGGGTGAACTGTTTAAAGTGTTCGTCTGGGATTGATTAGAAGCAAATTTTGTTACCGCTAGAATTTAGAGTGTGTTTGGTATGGATTTTTGGTGGAAGAATTGATTTTTGAATAGTGATATGATGGGAAATGTGTGGTTGACAAAAAAGAAAAAATTATTGATGTGATGGAAAATATTATTTTATTAAAGAATATGTGATTAAAAATGAGAATTGATTTACTGTAGAAAATGAGAATTTTTACCAAACGGGCTCTTAAAAAGCATTCACAATTATTGACCACATATTTTAGAATTACCAATGTACCCTCCATATTTTAAACTTACCCAGCAATGAAGGGCATAAATGACAATTAGCATAATATTGTATGCATTTGAGTGGTCAAATGTTGTTGACGTGTTAGGTGTGGCAGAAATGAGCCCCATTCCAACGTAAATAAGAAAAAATTTAAATTTTACTTATTCTAGTGTTGAATTCTGTCCATACGTAAATCTCACAAACATACAGAAATTAATAAATTGGGGTTGAATAAAATTTGTTCATGTACCTTAGGCAGGGCACTGGAAACCAGGGGGTGGAGTTTTGCCACAGTCAACTAGGACTCCAAGAGCAATGGGTATAAGGATGTTAATATTCAGAAGCTTAGCCTTTATGGTGGTGCAAAGGCATAATGCTGCATCCAAGTCCACAAGTCCCTCTAGTACAGGACAACAAGTGTCCTTAGCACTGCTGCCAATTCCAATGTGTATAAGACCTCCTAACAAGTCCACACATGCACCCAGTTTTAGGGTATCAATGGGGCAAGTTTGCTGTGCAGGTGATGGCGGAGGACACAGTGGTGGTGGTGGTGGTGGTGGTGGACATGGCGTTTCAGTTGGTGGCGCCGGTGGCTTTACTGGGACGGGTGGTGGTATCGTGACTATTGGTGGAAGTGGTGGTGTGATGGTGGGTGGATTTGGCACATAGGGTGGTGTGGGATTGTATGGTGGGTTTGATGGCGAAGGTGGTTTTACGGGGACGGGTGGAGGTTTCGTGACTATTGGTGGAAGTGGTGGTTTGATGATGGGTGGATTTGGCACATAGGGTGGTGGCAATAGAGGAGGTGTAGGTGTGGGTTTGTATGGTGGGTGCACAATGGGAGGGTTGGGAAAGAATGGAGGATGCACGATTGGAGGGTTGGGAAGGAATGGAGGATGTACTATAGGAGGCTTGGGGTGGAATGGAGGATGCACAATGGGAGGCTTAACTACCGGAGGTTTCGGTGGCGGCTTTACAATAGGAGGTTTGGGCACGTATGGCGGCGGCTTTACGACCGGAGGCTTGGGGTGGAATGGAGGATGCACAACTGGAGGCTTGGGGTGAAATGGCGGATGCACAACTGGAGGCTTAACTACGGGAGGTTTCGGTGGCGGCTTTACGGCCGGAGGCTTGGGGTGGAATGGAGGATGCACAACTGGAGGCTTGGGGTGAAATGGAGGATGTACAACTGGAGGCTTGGGGTGGAATGGAGGATGCACAATGGGGGGCTTGGGAGTGAAAGGTGGCTTAACTACGGGAGGTTTCGGTGGCGGCTTTACAATAGGAGGTTTGTGCACGTATGGCGGCGGCTTCACGACCGGAGGCTTGGGTGAGGGATAGTGTGGAGTTTGTGGTGGCTTTACAATTGGGGGGTGTTTTGGTGGAAATTTGGGTGGATGGGAAGGAGGAGTTGGGTATGGGCAGTAAGGACATGCTAGAGAAATATGCAGTGTCCCCAAGTTGAGAAGCACTAAGATTGGTAGAACCAACTTATGGTTTCCCATTACTATGGAAAATCTACTTATTATGGAGAAAGCAAAAGAAAGGGTTGAGTTCTTATAGAGGAATGGACAAGTGAGAGAGTCCATGTTTGGCGTAGATTTTTCAAAACTCATTTTTTTTCGAACTCATTTTCAATTACACATTATTTCAATAAAATATTTTTTAACCACATATTTTTTAAAAAATCACGTTTTCATGAAATCTATTCTAAAAAATCTACATCAAACAGGCTCTTAGAGTCATACAGAGTACAATTTTTAAATGCAATGGTTGTATAACCTTTATGTACTATAGTAGCATAGGATTTCAAATTTGTGATCCAAGTATTCATTTATAATAGGGGATATAATAATAAGATAGTATGGTATACCAAGTGTGACCATGAAAAGCTTGGATCATGAAACGACACAGCTTATACTACCTAAACATCATTTAATTCAATAAAGCAAATGATCGTGAAACATATTAATGATTGGATATAAGTGTATGAAAAAGTCGGATAGCACGGCGTGGCTTGTAATGTATACAAGGAATTTAAACATCTTTTAATGTAAAGTAGAAAAATGTTGTAAACACCGCCTAATATTCAAGTATATAAACAATTTAGTGTGCGTACAGTATTAAGATACTATAATAGAAAAGATTTTAGTTTCAGTCTCTATTTTTTATTATTATTATTAATATTGTCCGGTATACTTTAAACATGAAATCAAAGAGACATTAATGTTATAAAGCATTCTAGTGTGACATGAACGTCGGAGAGCATTCGTTCAATACTCAATGACCCCACACATTGACATTGTTTTGCAAATTTATCATTGGTAAGAAAACGGTGATTAATTTCTATATTAAACTTTCCGCATCCAACAAAATTATATACGCAAACAAACAAGTTCACATCTAGTCCTTCCAATACATTTTTCGACCTCTTGATACATCATATTTTCTTATCAAATGAACATATTTCTTAACACCTCATCACATTGTAGATTGAAGTTCTCTTAATTGCCAAAGAGTATTGAAAAGACAGTCGAAGAAAATAGATTACAACAGATCTCAACTCGATGGATGGAGAGCAATCAAAACCAAGTTATAATAATTCAGTCGTGATCAAATTAAAGTATTTTGTCTTGATTAATTGACTTTAAGGGACACTAATAAATAATATCCTTGAGAATCAAGTTCCAGACCAAGTGGGGCTATTTTCAAAGTTTGGAGGACAATAGAATCGAGAAAACGCGGTGGATATTAGGCAATTTTTAACGCCTAGTGCAGCAGTATTTTTGTCCGTGACCAATCCCTTAAATTTCGTTCTACTTTTTTGAAAATCGAAATGTCCTTGCTCAAAGACAAAAAACTCGAAAGATTTTTCGTTTTATCCATTATTTGATTTGCACTACGATACTTTTAGGTTGTCGGCAATATTTGAGAAATGGTATAAAACATCGTTTTAGGTTATTAGAGTATAATAACACAGTTCGAAATTGAATTATTCAAGTTTGTGACGGAGTCGGACATTATTTATTGTGGGATCAAAACTTAAATTTAAAAAATAAATAAATTTGAACACTTTTTTCTCTTGAGCACTTGTTTAATTAATATTTTGTTATTGAGATTTTCGTTTAAATTGTTTTCTCATTATTATTTGACAAGATGTTAATCTATTCTAAATAATAATTCCAACCATAAAAACACAATTGATTTCACTAGGCAAATGGCAAAATCTCAATATTCCACTAAATCACAATAGAAAACAAGCAATTCAATAAAAACTAAAATCCAACAACGAATTTCAACATACTGTAAAATCCAAAATCACCAAATTAGGATAAGTTGTTGCTTACATTAAAAGTATGATCAACGTTGGAACTTGACATTCGCATACATATTTACATTATGAATTTCATTGTTAATGAATAAACATATTCAAAATATACATCTAGATAGGGAAGACCTAATAATGCATGAGAATAGATATGTTATAAAAAGAGAGAATAAGAGAAGTCAACAAAATTGTGTTTATTATAATGAAAATCAAAACTCTATATTTATAGGGAATGAATATGGATACATATGGTAATAATATCTAGGGTTTTAGGGGTACAATTGTCATTCATCAATAACTTACTATTTACAACACTCCCCCTTGAATGACACATTACAAAATATCAGCATCGTTAAAACCTTGTTTGATAAAAATCTAATGGGACAAAAAAATTAAAACGAATGAAAAGGAGTACAGTTATTTTGAAGTATTAAAGATAAATTCTGCCTCATTAAAACTTTATTAGGAAAATTCAGTGGGATAAAACCTAAGCGAAGGAAAAATAGTACAGCTACTCCCCCTGATATTGATCACTGAAAATTTTTGAGTCGACGCATTCCAATCTTGTGAACCAATTTCTTGAATGTAGATGTTGACAGTTCTTTTGTAAATAAATCAACCACATTGTCACTTGAACGAATTTGTTGAACCTCAATGTCGCCATTTTTCTAAATCTCGTGTGTGAAAGAATTTTGCAGAAATATGTTTCATATTGTCACATTTGATATAACCTCATTTGAATTGTGTAATACAATGAGTATTATTTTCATACAAAATTGTTGGACTATCTTTTGTTGAAATTAATCTGCATGATTATTGGATATGATTGGTCATGTTCATCAACCATACACATTATCGGCCTGCTTCAAGGATTGCAATAATTTCATAATGATTTGAGGATGTTGCTGTCAATAATTGCTTCACAGATTTCCATGATATAGTAATTCTTCCACGTGTAAACATGTATCCTATTTGTAATTTATTATGTGAGTCAGAAAGGTAACATGCATCTGCATATCCCACTAAAGCAAATTCCGACTTTTGAGAATAAAATAATCTCAAATCAATAGTACCCTTTAGGCAACGAAAAATATGTTTAACACCATTTAAATGTTTTTTTGTTGGTGTAGAGTTATATCTTGTAAGGAGATTTATAGAAAAAACTATGTCGGATCGAGTGCAATTTGCAAGATAAGTTAATGCTCCAATTGCACTAAGATATGGTACTTCAGAATCAAAAATCTTTTCTCCATATTCAAGTGGACGAAAATGATCTGTTTTTTATATCAAGTGGTCGAACAACCATAGGTGATGCCAATGGATGTACACTATCCATATAAAATCGTTTTAAGACATTTTCTGTATATGTAGATTGATGAACAAATAATTCTTCTGGAAATGTTCAATTTGCAACCCAAGACAGAATTTGATTTTTCTCAAATCTTGCATCTCAAATTTAGTTTTCAAATAATTTGCAGTTTTGTTGAGCTCTTTAGAAGTTCCAATTAAATTTAAGTCGTCAACATAAACTGCCACAGTTGCAAATCCAATATTTGTTTTCTTTATGAAAACACAGGGCAGACATCGTCATTTTTATTCGCTAAGACAATTATACCACATACGTCCGGATTGTTTCAATCTATATAATGATCTTTGCAATTCAATTGAGAACATGGTTCTCGAGAATGTATCATTTGTTTCTCTCACTTTAAGTCCTTTATGGACTTTCATATATATGTCACCATCAAGTTAACCATACAAATATGCAGTCACTACATTCATAAGGTGCATATCGAGCTTTTGTGACACGGTCAAAATAATTAAGAATTTAAAAGTGATTGTGTCTATTACGGGAGAATATGTTTTCTCACAATCAATTCCTAGTCTTTGTGAGAAACCTTGAGCTACGAGTCGGACTTTATCTTGTAATTTCATTACTTTCATTACTCTTTTCGTACAAAAACTCATTTGTATCCAACATAGATTACATTTTCATGTGTTCGAACTACATATCCAAACACTTTCCGTTTCTATAAGAAATTCAATTCCGCCTGCATGACTTCTTTCCATTTTGGTCAATCATTTTTATTTTGACAGTCTTTAACATACAGTGGTTCTAGATCCTCATTTTTCATAATATTAAAAGTCACGTTAAAGGCGAAAATATTGTCTATAACAACATTATTTCGCTCTCATAATTTATGAGATAACATATAATTTATTGAAATCTCATTATTTTCGGACACTTATGATTTTTCAAGAACCATATTTTCAATATTTGATTGATCAATTTTCTCTAATGTTACTTCTTCTAAGTTTTTGGTTGATTTTTCTCTTAAACTTTTCTTTTTCGAGGTACAAAGTCTTTTGAACCAACTGGTCGACCATGCTTCTGACGTATTTGAAATTCATTTGCTACAGCAAATTGTTGTGCATGGACATAAATTTTTACTGAAATATTTTATGCTAGTATATATGACTTTATCACTTTTCTTGTGTCAACAAATGTATCGGCAATTGATTTGTAACTCTTTACAAATGAATGATTTTTTCAACCTCTTACTCACATTGATTGTTGTGGGAATCAAAATACGATAGAGTTGTTTCATTCCAATAAATTTTACTTTATTTATCAGAATGTAGTTTTTTCCCTCCCAAAATTGGGAAAGTCGTTTCATCAAAATGACAATCTGCAAAACGTGCAGTAAATAAATCACATGTTAAGGGTTCGAGATATCTAATAATAGATGATGAATCAAAACCCATATAAATTTCAAGTCTTTGTTGGGGACCCATTTTAGTCCGTTGTGGGTTGAAATAGGGACTTGAACAGCACAACCAAAAACCCTTGTTGGGGACCCATTTTAGTCCGTTGTGGGTTGAAATAGGGACTTGAACAGCACAACCAAAAACCCATTGGTGAGAAATATTAGGTTCATGACCAAATGCTAGTTGTAAATGTGAATATTGATAATATGCAGTTGGTCTAATATGAACCATTGATGCAGCATGCAATATGACATGACCCCAAACAGAAGCTAGGAGTTTGAGTAATGGTCTAGTAATAAGTTGTAGACGTTTAATAAATGATTCCGCTAAACCATTTTGTGTATGAACATGCGTAACCGAATGTTGAACAACAATCTCAATTGACATGCAATAACCATCGAATACTTG